TTATACTGATTGTGTGAGTATTTTAGGATTATCTTCTTGGTGGAGTGTAGTTTTGTAAGATTGCTAAATATTATGGTGTGCAGTGATTATTTTATGATAGTTTTTTTTACTGTTGAATATTTTTGGCCAATTGTGTATATGTCTTTCAAAGTAATAATGTGATATTCTTATGGGATTTTTTATATCATGTTGTAATTTCTTTTCTTAGGATATAGTCAAAATAAAATGAATTCCTAAATCAAGAGATTATGGATCTTATTGAGCAAATAGAAAGCCAACATATCATATTTGAGTTTTGGAAAATGGTATTATTTGCTTTGAGACAGCACGTTACTCTTTGGCTTGTAGACACATCTATCACTTTTAGATGATGCTGAGCTGAAACTTATTAAGTTTTGAGGATCATTCTCAACGTAAATCACTGAAGATGTCAAAACTATCATTATGCCCTTAGAAATTGTCTCGTGTTGGGGGAAGAACTTTTGTTTTCCTTAAATTTGGACTTTATTTTAACATGTGAATATTCAAAACATACGTGTTCAAACCCCATAAAAAATAAACAAACAGAGATGAGCATAAATGTATTGCTCGCTTCATTATCTAATTACTTCTGGCTACGTTTCTAATTTTTTAGACATGAAGTATGAAAAAGAAATTGATGTGGTTGACATTGTTTAGGAGATCTATTGTTAGCTATTGTTACTTAATGAAGTTTAATCTTCTTTAGATTTTTTTTCTTTAATATGGATGGCTGTGGAGGTGTTGATATCGATCAATTAATGAAGAACATTCTTTAGTATCTGATTCATTAATTCTTCGGTTGATTAGTGAAAGTCTGGATATGATCTCATATGTTACATGCCGACGAAACATCATATCGAACGACTGATATCTTTCTTGTACCGCTTATGTTGCTGACCACCATTCTTGTGAACTGCATCATTTGTTCTTCCATAGTTCTTGCTAATTGGTGCTTCTTCATAAATGTGGTAGATCTCATCGTTATATCCTACTATACTTGATTTCAAACTTCTGCTGTCATATATTTGAAATAAATGGAATCGATCTAATTGACATGCAAACTACTTTTTCTTATGCCACGGAATATTACTTTGTGGATTTTGGTAACAACGATATTAATTTATGAAGTATTACACAACTCTTTTTTTTAACATATCATATTTATTCTCACTTCATAGCATAATATAATTACTTATAGCTTTTATGGAACTTTAAAAAATTGTGAACTTTGAAACTAACAACATGTCATTTGTTTCTAGCAACTTTGAATGATTCGTTTCTGGCAAATCTTGATGAATTGTCTAATAACAAGGCTAATCTTTTAAGTATGCGATCTTTTTCTTCTATTTGTATATGTTCATTTGCCAATAAAATCCTTGTGTTTGTAAAACTTCTTTGGTTATAGTTTATTCGTGTTTCTACCTCGACATATAGCTTCTTCCATTTTTTCCCTTCAATAACATGATAATTAACTCGATTTCCATGTTAATTATAATGCTACTTATTTTGTGTAAATTTTTAGTATGTGGTAACATACGATGTTTATGTGCAGATGATGTTTATAAATGTTTTTAAGAACAATTTTTTATGTATTTCCATATATTGATTACGAATTGTTTTTATACTGCAATTATTTTTTAATCTTTTTACTGATTCTGTGTTCTTTTCTTCAGTATTTTTATCATGATATGATGAAAGTATAAGGTTGATTCAAAACTTGGTTATTCTTTCTCTTATGTTTTTATGGTTCCTTCAAATATTCATTGAATTTAAGTGAGTTATTTTTTTCGATTCCCTCATATTTTTTATTCCATCAATATTTTTGATGTTCGCATGAAATTTTGTGAATTGTGTGAATTGAATTTCGGGAGTTGATTAATCTCTATACATCTGTTATCTGGGGACACATGGTCTAGGTTAAACACTACGTTCTTGCTAAACATTGTTTATTAATCTGTTCTACATTGATAAACTTAGGAGTATTGAATTTTACTTAATGTTTAATATGATTTAATTCTCCAATCAAATCAAGTGTTCAGCTAAGATGGGGTGATTTATGCATTGTTATAGGTGTCTAATTTAATCCACATCTTGAAATATGTGCCATTACTTAGCCCCTGTTTGGAGGCCCTTTTTTTTTGGAAAAAAAAATTGTTTTGAATAGTGAATTTTTGGAAAATGTGCAGTTAGAAAGTACGGAAATGCTTTTAGTTTACGTATAGAATTTTTATTGTGTGAATGTGTGGTTGAAAATAAATATGTAGAAAAAACAGTTTTGAAAGAATGGACAAACAAGGGCTTATTGTGCGATGTTTCTGACTTTTCTATTCTTGTTTTTCTTTCATGTTTCATGTTACCAGATTCACTTTGTTTTTATCATTAGTAACAAGACCAAGTTTAAACTAAGTTGAGTTCTTCCTCCAGGAAATGGAGGAAATTATCATACAACAGATGTTGCACTGAAAGCTCAAGCTTTTAATGTCCAGCCTATTGCAGTTCTGTCAATTCCTGGTGATGAATTGAAAGAAATTACAGATAACTTTGGCTCTAATTCTTTAATTGGGGAAGATATGAGCGAGTATATTATGGAATCCTTGAGAATGGTCGGGCTGCTGCAATAAAGAAGTTGGATGCAAGCAAGCAACCAGATGACGAATTCTTAGCCCAGGTTTCATTTGAATATTGTAACTTATCCAGTCCTACAAGGAATCAGAAGTTCATCATTGAGTATATCCAACAAATTGTTTTTGAACGTGCAGGTTTCTATGATGTTTAGGCTAAAGCATGAAAATCTTGTTGAATTACTTAGTTATTGTGTTGATGGAAATCAGCGCGTTCTTGCATACGAATTTGCATCTAATGGTTCTCTTCACGATATTCTTCATGGTATGTTAACACCTCCCAGCTAAAATATTTTTATGTTCCTTGTCTACTTCCCCTGCCTTTGTACTAAATGGGAATGCCCGAGTTTGTGTCTGGTCTGACATTTTATTGTTGTTTTGTTTGCTGATTCATACTAATAGCTTGACGAGAAATTTCAATTTTCAATCTTCACTTGTCATTTTTCAGGAAGGAAAGGTGTTAAAGGAGTACAACCTGGTCCTGTTCTTTCATGGGCATAGCGTGTAAAGATTGCAGTAGGTGCCGCTAAGGGACTTGAATATTTGCATGAAAAACCAGATCTTCACATATCCACCGTGATGTTAAGTCCAGCAATATCTTTGATGATGATGCTGCTAAAATTGCTGACTTTGATTTGTCAAATCAAGCTCCTGATATGGCTGCATGTCTTCACTCAACTCGCGTTCTTGGAACATTTGGTTATCATGCTCCTGAGTAAGATACTTTTGGAACGCCATATACATTTTTCTCCCTTCTCTCCCATGTTAAAATGTGGGTTATGCTAGGCATACATAATGGGTGCCTAATTGACAAATGGCGGCCCTCCTATTGGGGGGTGCCTGTGGGCCAGACGCCTCCCCAATAGGGGCGCCATTTGTCAATTATAGCACCCATTATGTAAAATGTTATGTACAAATAGCACTTTCCTTAAAATATTGAGAATATTACTACTGCAAGTGTTGCTAGGAATGATTGTAATGGTAATGGATTAGTTTGCTTTATCATGCATGAGAAGAATGTGATTGTGAGTTTTTGAATCTTTTTCTTGTTGGAATTATAGCAAACTAATGTTTCCATTTCTTTTTATTTTTTCGACGGGTGCTTTTTCATTACATTTTTTTAGTAAGATTACAAATATCATTTGAATCGAAAAACAAGTAGATGGTGGTTTATTTCTTTTTGAGTAGCCATATTTCACTTCATTTAGTAATCTTAATTTTTCACCATACTTACTGGTGTTTTGATAATTTGATTTTGAAAAGTTGGTTTTCCTCTACTTTAGTCAGTATTTTAATATTGTGGCCAAGATTTGTTGATGTTGACAAAATCTTTGGTTGTAAAAATTGTTTCCTGTCTTGAATTCTTTTGGGAGTTCTCTTCATATACCTTGTGCATATCAACCAAACAAAATAAAGAAGAGAGAATTAATACGAGGGAATGTAAAGTGAATAGACTGATGTGTAAATTCAAATTTTGATCATTTCCATTGTTTATCTTTTCTAACTGATCTACAGTATTGTTTGTTAAGCCTTATCTGAATTTATTTTTTATGCTATTGTTTCTCGATGGTAATCTTCCTTATGCAACAACAATTTTCTCAACAAAATATTTCTCTTAAATGTTTGATGTGGTTGTTTATGGTTTTTCCATTCCTTCTAACTAGCCACCCCTCAGGGTCGTCAGCAAAATATCCAGGACCAAAATCCATTGAACCTAATAGAACTACACAGTCACACATGCTTGCACACTCACCCAGATGTATATATTAATGGAGTTCTGCGTTCTTTCTTGATTTTAAACTGTCATAGAACATTGTGTTATATTAAGATGGAACAAAAGCTTCATTCCCCTACAAACATTACCTTACTTATGGTGCAATCTTGTCTATTGTAAATAAAAATTTAAAAATCACTCAACGTTATTAGATGGCCAACTACATTCCAACAAGTGCATTGCACGTATGCACTACTAGTTTTATATAAAAGATGTCATTTGTTATTTTACTATTTGACAATTTAAAACTAATGTCAATTTTTTCCTCCAGTATTTTTCTCCAAGCCATTTTATGTAATCTCTCCAGACATTGATAGCTAATGGTGGATCTTTCCGCGCCGATCGCGGGTTCATCCCTTCTCCTCCAGCACGCGCACACGCAGATAAGCACAAATGTAACACAAAAAGCCATTTCTAAAATTCCCACAAAAAAAGGGCTACCCCATAAAGCTAAAGTCTTTCATTCAAAACACTCCAAGAACCCACAAACCCTTATGCTCGATTACACACAGAGCCAAGAAAACTTTTAATTTTTAGTTTCTTTTTCTTTGTATGAAATTTAGTAAAGAAAGAGGAGGAAAAAAATGGATTCTGCTGCTCTTGATTATATAATCAACCGTTTGCTTGAGGTTAAATGGAAGCCGGGAAAGCAAGTGCAGCTCTCAGAGTCGGAGATCAAGCAGCTTTGTTTTCAGTCTAAAGAGATTTTCTTGCAACAGCCTAATCTTCTTGAGCTTGAGGCACCCATTAAGATCTCTGGTGAATTTTCCTTCGACTTAGTTGTTGTTAATTTACTGCGTATATATACACAAAATCACCACATAATAAAACCCACCTTTAAGAACATGGATTTTTTTTTTTTTTTTATTTGGCCTTTTCTCCATGCGTGTTAAAGTTTCATTGTTTTGTGAAGTGGCTTTTTTCATTTATTTTAAATTCCTATTTTCATGACTATAGTTTGTCCTTTCATTTTATAGTGTAATTGGGTATAAGAGGCCACTTGTTTCATGTGGGAGGATAAAAAATGATAGGACGCTTGGCTTTTATGAGTTCTCATACTTTTTTTTTTCTTTTTTTTTTTCCTTGGTTGCCTACTCCCAGCTTGATAACAATATTCTAGTAACAGATCCTTTCTTTCATTGTAGAAAACTTATCTTTCTAATGCACTCTATGTTGTCAAATAACAAAATTCCTGTGCGTTGGTTGTCTTTGTGGGAAGAACCACTATTACATGTCACTATGGTTAGTCATGAGTAAATGAACAAAGACTATGATAGTCGTTAGAGTCTAAACAGAAAGGTGGGTGACAAGCGTGAAAAGATCTTCAAGGTTCTTGGGGTCCATAAAGATTGAATGAAGAGAGTTTATGCAGGCAAACACTTACAATTCTGCACTAGGCTGTTTTTACATTAGGTTGCTTCCTTTCATTTTGATGGACTTCTTTAATTCTTTTGTTATCCTACCAGGTGATCTTCTTTGTATTTTTTCTATTCCAGCATTAGAAAGCCAGTGATAATGTCCAATTGGTGTACTGGTTTATTCGTTAAACTTGACAAAAGGAGTCCTGAACTAGTTACTTAATTACATGCTCATCATGAGCATTTGATACAGCTCTTCCTCTCTGTCCCATTTCTCATTTTTATCTTTTCTGGTATGACCCTACATTTATCTTAACATCTTTATGTTTCCCACAGTCATCTCTTGAAATTTTGTCCGTTAACGGCCTAATAGCCAATACCATAAAGTATAGTTGATTTGACACTCTCTGCACCAAATCTATCCTGTAGAACTTTTGTATAGTTTCTTGATTTTGTCTAACTCTTGCTAATTTTATGCATTAGTTGTTTCCAATTCATGACATTCTAACCTGATGAGAATCACTCTTTAGGACAATATGATCATCTATTTTAATTATAATGTCATCTTCATTCCTACTATGACTAAAGCAATTCTATGTATTCGTACTTAGTTTTAATTAACTTTCAACTCTTCGGTTCCTCCAATGTTTTAAAATTATGACTTATTCCTTTTCCAGACTCATCCACTAAAATGAAGGACTTCATATAGGATATATTTTGTAAGGTTATTCACGACTAAAGAAAAGATAAAGATTAGGGTAGAATCTTGAAACGAGCTTATTGGGATACTAACATATAGGTGTTCATCGTTGGTGTTTTACAATTGGAATTGGAGTTTCTTCTTTACTTCCCGCCCTCCCCCCCAAAACACCGACCACAACACTTTTATTAATTCTGTAATATTCTATCTTTATATCAATAAACGTCATGTTCAAGTTTTACTTCTTTCTACTATATATTCATCCATCAATCTCGAAATAAGATAAATGACTTGTGCAGAGCATCAAATTCATTCTTGATGACCTTTAATTGTACCTTCATTGTTAAATAGGTGTCTCCAATGACTTGAGTTTTATACTACTAATGTCGACAATGATCTTGAAACAAAGGTCTAATTGCCAATAAATTTGGGATTGGCTACATGAATCCCTTTCCACCTTTCCATTTGGTCCATTGTTGCACTACCATAACTTCCAAACAACTATCCTTTACTACCACAAAAGTCCATGTTATTTTGGTTTGCTCATAATTTCTTTAATGAGATTTCATCACTTTTATGATCTAGAACCTCTATAGTCAATGATGACATACCCTAACCTCCATTCGTTGGCATGTTTTCTCATTATTTATTGCATCTAATATGAACAAACAGTCTTATCACTGAATTTCACTTTATATGTGCCGAATTTGTAATTTTGTTTTTCTATTTTCAACAAATATCGACTTCAAAATAATTATATACAAAGCATCATGCGGTGATTATGGAAAACGATAGTTACAGTTCTCATGGGCCTTGGCGTAGGACAAAATGTTATCGTGTCTTATTATTAGTAGATAAGTCTGATGCTAGGCAGTTGATAGAGGTGCCACAAGGTGATGGAATGGATTTGACCCATACAGGAATTATATAAGCTATAAAATGCATTGAAAAGGAGTTATTATACTTGGCCTATATAAGAATTAGATGATACAATATAAGCAATGGACAGTTATGGTTAAAGAAATGGACAACATAATTACTGTTCTTCTGTTAATGGTGCTCCATAAATAATACATTTTATTAGCGTTCTTTTTCTTTAATGGTCATTTGTGTAAATTAATGAATGTGAGAAATTTATTTGTTTGTGCACTTCTGTTTTCTGTTTGGAGGACCACTTGTCCTCAAGCCTTGTCTACTCTTTCTCTTATCAATTCATAACTCTGGTTTTATCCAAAAGAAAAGAAGGAAAAGTAAGGGGAGGAAGGAAGAAACTTGGGAAGAATGGAAAAATCACTGTAGGACTAGGCAACATGCTTTGATCACGGCACCAGCTGTTAGATAAGAAATTCTTCTTTTATATTAGTTTAATGAATATCTAAAGGTACTTAAATTTTCTTCAACTATTTAAGCAATTATAAACTGATATGGGAATTCAACATTTACCTATCTTTGAAACAATTATATAGATAACTAAAGATAATGGACTTTTCACGTCAGCTTCTTAATTTTTCTCTACTTAAAAGAGGAATAAGAAGCACTAGAGATGGAAATGATTGCTGTCGCTGATTTTTTCGACAATTCATATTATTATTAGTAATGTGCCAAAAGGAGGCATACGGTGGTGTAGCCAGGAAGCTGATTCAGTGGGGTACCACTGGACTTCGCAAAAAATCTGAATACTCAAGTAACCTGGATTAAAGAAGTCGAACGCTCTAATTTCGAGTTGTTACTCACGGGCTTAAGAGGTAAAACTCCATGACTAAATCTATGTGAAGGAATGCTTAGTTGCTCATGAATGGCCATCTTGTTTCTTGGAGGTGTTTTTGGGCCCTTCTTTCTCTGTATCATGTCACCTGTAGCCTTGGAAACATAGACCTCATTATTCTCTTCATTTTCCCTCTCTCTCTCTTGTTCAACGCTTCAACTAAGTGTCCAATTGTTCAAAGTTTCTGACGTTCATATGATTTAATGATAATCCTACATCAGGTATCAAAATTATCTATTTTTGATATACATTTTTTTTTCAGAAAGCATGGAATTTTTCAAGAAATGGAGCTTTTAATCAAGACATGGAATTTTTTAATCAAAATTCACTTGTAAAAACATAGAATGGAATGAATTGAAACACCAGAAAAAGCAAGCTGAACCCCCTCTTGAAATACCAAAAAAGGTACTTTCTTGCTTATAATTGGATAACAATGTAAACCCACTTGAATAAAGCAAAAAATTCCTTCAAAGTTGATTATCTTTCTTCCTCAGAATCAATATAATAAGCAATGACATAATACAATAGCGAACAACTTTTTATACAAGAAAACAGACAAAACAGAGGACTAATTTAGCACAATAAATCTGTGGAATCTAATTATCAGAAATGAGATAGTAAAATTGACAGAGAATCTAGAATGAGAAAAAGGCCATGAGCCTTTGCACTTTTGTGGGTAGTTTTCAAATAAAATACGATTTTTGAAAAAGCAAAAGCAAATTTCCGGATTCCACCGGGCACATATCCGGCGCCCCTGCACCTGGGCATACATATTGCTCGTAAATGGAAAAGAAAATAAAATATTCTTGTTTGACCTGGGTAAGCTCAACATATCAAAATTGTCTACAATTGGGTGATAAAACACATCAAAATAAAATAACTCTCTTGATATTATAGTTCCTTTCCATATCTCATGATCACTTTCATGACAAGTTTTTGCTGAATAATTTTCTTGTATGTATTCCTTCAATTTATAGAATATTACAACAATATACAAGGAAAGATTTTGTGTTATACAATCAAAGAAATCCTGGATTATATGCGGGTTATAAATGACAACTAAATAAATTAAATATCCTCTGATACTCTCCCTCAAATTGATGCTGGTGAGTCCACAAGCATCAATTTGTTGGCAAGAAAGTTATGACGATGACGAGTCAAGGATTTAGTGAAGATATCGGCAGCCTGTTGAGCACTGGAGACATGGGGAAGAGTAATGACTTTGGAATCATAGGCATCTCGGATGTAATGACAATCCACTTCAATATGTTTGGTGCGTTCATGATACACAGGATTAGCCGCAATTTGAATAGCACTAGTATTGTCACCATGGAGTGGTGTAGGCTGAGATTGAGAAACACCAAGTTCGGCAAGAAGACCTCGCAACCATACAACCTTGGAACAAACAGTTGACATAGCACGATACTCAGCCTCAGTGGAAGACTTAGAAACACAATCCTGCTCTTACATTTCCAAGAAATGAGAGCATCACCCAGTGGTAGATCGACGAGAATCAGAGCAGCCAGCCCAATCATCCACATTTACTAACAAACAAACGAACCCATCTTTACTCTTGTGAAGAAACAGTGTTGCATCATACTGACTCTGAGTAAAGGAAAAATCCAAAAGGATGCGGCAGAACTTGTCAAACCATGCTCTAGGAGCCTGTTTAAGACCATATAAAGAGCGTTTGAGTTTACAAACAAAATCTGATGAAGGAAGAGGCATACCAGATGGAAGTTTCATATAGATATCCTCCTTGAGGTCTCCGTGGAGGAACCCGTTCTTCACATCCATTTGATGTAAAGACCATAACTGGGAAGCGGCAAATGATAACAAAAGACGTACAGTGGTCATTTTATTTATTTAGTTTCCATTTATAACCCGCATATAATCCGGGATTTCTTTGATTGTATAACACAAAATCTTTCCTTGT